CAGACCCTGATGCTAAAGACAAAGTTGCTGCCAACGGACTTGCTGCTGCTTTGTAGAAGACTAAGTCCTTTTCATTGTAAATATAGAGTAGTTTTGCTGCATTTTCTTTAAGTGTGATTTTCCAGCTTTCATAGGTCTAGTCATGTAACTTTGGTTTATTTTTTTTAAGCATTATTAAGGGGGACCAAGCAATCAAAACTTTCAAGCAAGCAAACAATTCTCTGTACTGGTGTCTCTCCCCCCCGACACCGTCTTGTTTTCTGTAATAGCTTTCATTCAATGCAATCAAGCTTTCTTTCATTCTCAATTCTCTTTTCTGCTCTCTTTCAATTGCTCATGACATTGGTTTTCCCGTACGGCACTGACAATCTAGTCTAGCGTACGGAGGGGACCTCAGTTGGCGGACAGCAACCGTACTGACATCGGTTGCTTAGCCTTACGCCGCCCTTCCAAGGAACTTCAGGAAGGCGCCGCGTAACAGTTCCATCGGGCGCAAAAAATACTAGGCGATTTCTTCCCATCTGTCGAAACCTTGGTGGGCAGAGTTACCCGGTACCTGTGTTGGTGGAAGGTAGCAGGTACCCGGTAGAATTAGAAGAGGTGCACGCAAGCTGGCGTCGACACCACCGTTATCGAAACAAACAAAAAAGATGGTGATGTAAGTTCCTGTCTCTTCAAATTTCTGTTTACAACATACATCTTTTTGACATTATCAGCATATTTGCAGGCAAGTAGTCATCTCTTAGTGCCTAAGATCGTCAAATTTTAACTTTAGGGATTACAACATGGTTTTCAGGTATCTGATGAATGGTGGTTCGAACCAGGACATGGCGATTGGTGTACTTGCCTGGAAAAGTATACACTTTGTCAAGATGGCATGTACCACAAGGTATGAATCTCATACCATGGCTTGAAAGTTTAATTTTAAGAATGCAAAAGTAAATCATGATGTTATGTTTCCTTTGATACTTCCCAAACTGCTCCTTGAATATGTTCTTATTCTAGGATCAGCATAATTCACAAGTCAACTTATTAATCCCATGTGCAATCAATTTGTGTTACATAAAATGGGATGTATGGAGTAGTTGCGAATGAACAGTTAACATGTCTCTTTATTCTGCTGGGATCTTGTAACAACTACTATTTTGTTGATGCAGCAAGACCAGTTCCAGCGCATGTTGCCGACTTTCATCCAAATCATTGAATTGACAGAGGAGGAAGAAAATCTTTATTGGGCTATCATGTCTGCCGTCTTTGAGGGGAAACCTGTTGCTTCTGTTACATCTAACCCAAGTTTTCAGAATAAGCTTGGCTATACCTCTGCTAATCCAACACTAACGGACTCTGGCATCAACAATAAGGTACTGACTGCTAGTACATACCCGAAGTTCGCAATAGCAGTATGATGAACTTCTTATCATTGTTGTGCTCTTATCTAATACTAGGGAGAAGTAGTACTGTCGTCAGTGATGATGAATGAAGTTAGCCACTAAACCATGTAAATGGACTTTAGGTGTCTTTGTCTGATCAATGTCCATCCAATGTATGGGAAGAGACTAACAAAAGGGCATCAGTAGATGTTGTCACAAGATAGTGTTTTGCTTCATGGTCAGCGACAATGGTGTGGTGGGTGGGTATTTGGAAAAAAAAGAGGGAAAAGTTAGAGGACGGTTTGGTTCATTAAAGTAGTTGACTAATTCGACCAATGAAACTTTAGCTGCTTTGTGAGGTGACTAAAGATTGTAGAACATGAACTTATTTAAAAAAAAAAAAAAATAGAAAGATTGTAAAACATGATACAGTGACATGATAAGAAAGCATTTTGTAGATCCTGTCTTTGTATCTCTTTTCAGTCTCAGGTGATCTATCCATTCCTATTTCCTTCAATCTTCATTGTTTTGCACATAAATGTACAGTGTATAAGCTAAACATGTCCCCCATATGACCCGTAATGGTTCATCTAGCTGATGAATTTTGAAAATGTACAGGTATATTTGCTAAGGACAATGCTTCAATGGGAGAAGCAGCTGCGCTCTGAAGCAAGTCTCCAGCAAGTGGAGTATGCTACAAAACCATACGATGCTAGCTCCGGTTTGCTAGGAGAGGTGGTGATTGTATGCTGGCCCAATGGTGAGATAATGCGCCTGAGCACCGGCAGCACTGCAGCTGATGCTGCTAGGAGAGCAGGCGTAGAGGGGAAGTTGGTTTCAGTAAATGGCCAGCTGGTAGTGCCCAATACAAAGTTAAGAGATGGTGATGTGGTTGAGATCAGAATGTAGATATGTTTCATTACGTTCAAATCTAGTACAGGCTGTACAGCATGTATATTCGTTGCAGTTGTGGGAAGCGCTCGCAACATATTGAAGTTCTATGTTCTTGCTTTGATTTGGTCACAGTAGTCATAGTACCTAGCTGCTGTGCAGATTCCCCTTTTTGTTCATAGTTAGGCCTTGAAGTGGCTCTTCAAAATGTACATATTTTTAACTTTAAGGCTCAAATGAAAACACTCTTGACGCAGGGCAAGCGCGATACCGTTCAAAGAAAAATGAAAAAAAAAGAGGTTAAACTAAACACCTTTTAGTCATTCGATCTGATTTCACAAAACTTCCTTTGTTTCTGTTGCGTAAAGAAAAACACGTAGGAAAAAGGAAATGTTTGTGATAAATTACAACAGATTCATGTACTTTATAAAATATGCTTTGCAAAAGTAGTTTTTAAGTTTCAAATAATTTGATATTTTTAGAATAGCCTGGAAAAAGTGTTACTCCCTTTTTAAACAACTTTGTGAACAAACAAAGCTTCAAACATTGTTAAGCAAACGCGAATGCAATTTTGACAGGGCAGTAATCAATGTTGTGCTGTTGCCTGTTGGATGAAGTAATTCAACTAATTAGATGCAACATTTTTTCTCAAAGAATAAATAGTAATATATCATCCCTATTTCATCCTCACAAAATGAACTCTTTTTGATTTTGTAAATAAATGAAAAGGTAGAGGATCAAATGGAAAAAGATAGAAGGATCGAGTGTAAAATCAAAGAATAGTATATACATCAAGGGTGCGAAATGCAAAGAAGTCTTTTTATCATTTTCATAACAAAAGGGCCTTTCCATAATTTGGATCAAAGTGAAATTATTGTTTAGGCTTCTTCTTTTTTCCTAACAGCTTGTTTGGATGATATATATCGTTTCATAATATATTATATATTATTATATTATATTGTAATGTATCGTTCTGATATATACAATGTTTGGAAAGATTGTATTGTTTAACGTTATTTTATGATGTTATGCACCAACAATACGAAGAATAAACTTGTAATATTATTTTTTTTAAAGTATGAGTAATAATTATTATATAACAAAAATAAGATAAAAGATAAAATATGATTATTTAATAATAAGAAAGGGAAAGATGAAAGAAAAAATAAGTTAACGATGCGATCACACCAAATGAATCATTCCATAAAGTATAACTATAAATTTAACATACGATAAAATAAAATTTAAATAACAATCAAAACAAATATTTAAGTAACAATACAATACATCCAAACAAGCTTGAGGAAGTGAAACCGGAGGACAAGCCACCTGTAACACAGTGAAAGTGCACTGAATTAGAAGAATGCAATAAATAAGCGACTAAAGTGAAACCAGAGGACAAGCAAAAGCAAAGAGAAATTTGTGATCCTACTTCTCCTCTCCACCTTCCTCGATGGTTCGCAAGCGATTTCATGATGTCAAAACAGGTGAAGAACCAATAATTTTGAGCTTATTTTGTTTGTTTTTCAAGTTTTTCCCCCTCTTATGATTCGACTATCACTTCTAGTATTTGCCGCAACCCATTTCTAAAAGCTCCAAAATCAGACTAAAAGAAGTATTAACTCTGTATATTCTTCTGTAAAACAGGATATATCATCCAATGAAATGGAATTTTAGGTTTAACAAATGTTGAGTTTACTCTAACTGTATGAGGCATGACAGTTGTTCGACGGAATGTTTGAACTAAATTTTCGTTATGCAAACGACAAAAAGATGAGTAATTTTATACATATATGTGAATGCGACTGTTTTGGTAGGTGCTTTGGTGGCAAAATCATTCGATGCCCAGAAATTCCTGAAGAGAGTTGGGTTAGGAAAAGAAGACTATCACTTCTGGAAGCAAGTGGGCAAGGCGTTGCTTTGTACTTACACTTTGTTCGGCGTAGCGTGGTTATGGAATGAGACTTCGCCACTTGGTTGGTGGACCCTGAAACCCAAGCCAAAGGAAGAAAAAGAACTAGCACACCTATACGAACGCCGGAAATTTCCATATCCAGGTGATGAGAAGGCAATGGAGGAGTTTATTGCCAGAGGTGGGATGATTGGTACCACTATTGGTCCTAAGGGAGTTGTTGAATCTGATAAAGATTCCTATAATTTTCAGGAAGCATTGCAGGATAAGAAATTTGATCAAGAAGCCTTCAAGTTGTGGATGAGGATGAAGAATGAAGTTATTTCGGAGCTCCAAGAGAAAGGGTTTGATGTAGAGTGAGTGAATATAGTTACTTCCTGCAATCAGATTATGTCTTACATGCATTGGTTAGAAGTGGTGTGATTATGTGTCAAACTTATCAGACTGCTTTGAAGTTCTTGTTATCATATCTGCTACTTTTCCGCGAGTTGATTTTTCCTATATTTGTATTCTTATAGAATCATTGTTATGCTCTTATATAATACTCTGGAGACGTAATAATGTTGTCAATGATGATGAATGAAGTTAGCCACCAAACCATGTAAATAGACATTAGGCTTGTTCTTTTGATCAATGCCCATCCAATGTATGGGAAGAGACTAACAAAAAGGCATCACCAGTTATTGAAAAGTACTTATTCCTGGCAGGCTGGCACTGATCAGTGGTTACGACACCAAAAGTGTGGCATGTATGGGAATTTCATTTCCTTTCCCTCTAATAATCTTGCTATTTCAGCTTCCTGTTGTTTGACATAAGCTATCATTTTGATAACAAATGTTGTCAGAAAGATAGTGATTTGCTTCACGGTCAGCATAGTGCAGGTGGTTGAGAATTTGAAACAGAAAAAAAAAAGGGGGGGAAAAGATAGAGGACAGTTTGGCTCATCAAAGTAGTGGATTAACTCGATGGATGAAACTTTAAAAGCTGGTTTTGTCAGGTGACTGACTAAAGATTGTAGAACATGAACTTATTTTTAAAGAAAGAGAGAAAGAATGTAGAACCTGAAACAGTGACTTTATAAGAAGGCATTTTTTGGATCCTGGGTTTGTATTTCTTTTCAGCCTCGGTTGATCTATCCATGCCTATTTCCTTCAATCTTCATTGTGTTTGCACATAAATGTACAGTGAATGAGTTAACATAGGCTAGGAATTATCCCAAAAGTGATCATATTCAATAAGTCATGCATAACCCATTTTCTATCTGTATTAAATATGGGTCGGGTCAGATAATTTATCCGTTTTTACATTACCCATTTTCGACCCGCCCATATCCGATCTGACCTGCCAAATTGCCACCCCTACTGAGATATAATGCGCATGAGCACCACTAGCACTGCAGCTTAGCTGCTAGGTGAGCTGGCGTAGAGAGGAAGTTGGTTTCAGTATATGGCCAGCTGGTAGTGCCCAATACAAAGTTAAAAGATGGTTATGTGGTTGAGATCAGAATGTAGTTATGTTTCTATCTGGTTCGTCTTGCTTAAAGAAAACAATGGAGGAATAGGAAAAGATTTGTGTTATATAGAATAATAATAGAAGTAGTTTTTCAGTTTTTCAAATAAGTTGATTTGTTCTTAAAGTTGAAAAAAAATTACTCTTTTTGCCAAAAACTTTGTGACCAAACGAAGTTTGATGTTCTGAAAAGAATGTGCAAAAGTTTAAATGTATTTCCAAACAACGCCTTTAATTTCGAAATAACAATCATAGGAGTACTTATTTTCAGTTATGCGATAATAGAAATTTCTTTTGGAAGCATTTGGTGGAAAATTCGAAAACTTAAACATATTTGTGAACTTTATAAGTTTTTCTATACGCTATTTGTACGATGATGAAAAACTTTGAAATTCGACTTAAAAAATTTTGTTGCCAATGAAGCTGAATTTCTTAATTTGGTAAAATGGCACAACTAAGTCAATTTTAGTTTTTCTTTGCAGAAAATGTGAATAAGAAAAACTTTTTTATGTATTTGCTCTGAAACTCACTAAAATCAATAAAAAAAAATAGATTCTGTTTTTATAGAACGTATATTATTAATAAATCAAGAATATAATGAACATACTCGTGTATAATCATAGTTTCTTTTAAGACAAATTTGTAAGCCACATAAATGCTTCTACGTAAATTTTGATGTACAATATATATGATTCATCGAAATAATTTTTACAAACAGAGGAATGTGATATAATTTCCTAAGTTAATTTTGTCATATATTTTAGCAATTTAAACTCATTCCCTAAGCTAGATGGAACACGTGTTATAAATCTTGATACCCAATTTTGCCCTCATATTTTCTCGAATAGTATATATACTTTCAAAACATCATTTGGCATCATTATTTAGTTACAAATCTATACAAGCATTTTTCTATAATTTTTCATAATTTTCAGAGCTTTAAAATTGATTTTTCTGTATTTAAATTACTTGAGTATTTTTTAATTACTCCTTTCAATTATTTTGTGATGACTTAATAACCTAAAATTATTATTTTGCATTTATAATACTTGCTTCAGATATTTTACTATGTTTTTTATAATTACATTAGTATATTTAGGACATTTGCACAATCTTGCAATAATAGCCCGTATTTTATAATTTTTATTGCATTTATCATTTTATTTAAGGTACAAATAATATCTTACATTTTTATAATCTTCTACTATTATTTTAAAATATTACTTTGCATAAATAGCATTTTTTATAATTTATTATTAAATTAGTTTTCCTTAATTTTTTATTTTTAAAATCTGGCCCAAAATTAGGATTAATTTCGGACCAATAGACCCTTGGCCCAATAACCCCACCAGCCCAAGCAACCTAATGAACCTACCCAGTCCAAAACCCGACCCAGCCTATTTAAATCTCAGTCGTTGATCAAAATTGATCAAAATTGATCAACGGCTCACAACACTCCCCTCATTTTCCTTATACTCCCAATACCCAAACCCTAGAGACAAATCCCACTACCCGCCACCTCTAAACTCTCTCTGTCTCGCCTCTCTCTGAAGAACCCTAATTGTCGCCCTGCACCAATCCCTCTTCTAATCCCATTAGACATGGATTCACCTGTTATTTACTTACCATATCCATATTCCTTCTCCATTTGTTACCTCTTTGTGGTATTACATAGTACTTGCTCTATTTTTGACAAGGTACAAATCTTCAAATCAAAGGGAATCAGTTCTAATCGTTGGGATTCAGATAATATTTCGTCTAGATACATTTATATCAAGGCTATATGGGTCCTATTAGCCAAGATCTCCGGCCAATTTTCGATTTCTGTCAACTAGGGTTTACCTAATTTTTATCTAATCTGACTTTTACTGATTCTACATGTTATTATTTCCTTATTTTTGTTGATTTTACGGTATTTCCTTGATTTGTTTGTTTGATTTCTACTACTATATAAACCCCTACCCTTTCCCCTTTGAAACAGACTTTTTAATTACCCGGATTCACTAAAAATATTGAAGCTATTACTCTATTGTTCTCTTATTCTCTTGTTCTATACTCTTGTTCTTGGCCGGCTGAAAGCCAAGGCCACCGGAATTCAATTTTCAACTTTTCTTGGTGCGAGCACTGCCCGGGGTTCATTTGAAACCCTTGGAAACTCTGACGCATTAAGAATCTGGGTTCTTGCTCTTTGTTGACATTCAGAGCACTGTGGAATTAGTTCTTTCTCGCTGTCTGTTTATTCAACTGATAACTGGTAAGTCTCTTGGCTTTACGATTTCATTCTTCTATGTTTATGTCCTGTATATTCACGCCTCTGAATTTCATGACCTAATGTGTTCTTAGACCATCTCTGTGTGTAACTTTGCTAGTATTAAACTTGTCTTATGATCTGAACCTCTTTAGCATTTGATTTTTACCTAAAATTTTTAGTTTTTGAGAGATGTTATTTGAATATACTTCCCTTGAATAATTTAGATCCTCTTAAGTTCATTTAGCCTAATGTTTTGGCACTTGAACGTTTACATTTACTATTTGACATGAGTTTTCATTCCTACTCTATTCCGAATTCCTGTAATGGCTGACTTGTATTTATAATGTGTTCTAATCTATGTTAAGACCTTCACTATCAACTATGACTTGTGATCACGCCCAATTATGCCTTATAAAAAGGACTAAGCGGTCGTTGTAAATATATTACGGTTAACAAGTCCGGAGTCGAATCCCACAAGGAATTAACATATTAAGTACAACTACTAGACTCGCACAAATTCACGCAATCAATATTCATAAATATTTAAATAATAAATTGGATGTTTACTAACTAAATATCACGTAATGAAAATGCAGTAATTAATAACTAACTATGAACAGGTTGTAGACAAGAATTGGAATGGTCTAAGGTTTTGATTTCCCCTATTGTCGAAATCCTTTCCGCTATGTTTCCTATAAATTTGCCTAAGTTTTTTCTACCGATCATGAGCTCTCCGAGTGTCATAATTCTCTCCCGAGTAACTATCATAATTTACTAGACATATTTTTCCGAATTACTCTAGCTGGCACTAAGCTACGGCTCACTCGGATCGCACAGAGGTTTCGTTATTCCTAATCCCACCTTTAAACCCTCCGTATTGATCCCTCATATACGTTAGGAGTGATGTTGCTCAACAACTACCTAAATATGCACTCTCTTCCGAGTAATACATACTAAATAGGCACAGTCGATTGAGAGCTCTTCAACCAACCACAATATAAACGTAGTTGAACAAATAGAGAAAAACTACGGCAAATCTATATTAACGTAACAGGAAAATCATCCTCCAATAGGTTCCATCAAAACCCTAGATTAGAAGTTTAGCTACTCATACTCATAGTAACAATATCCCAAGTATTTTGCATAAATAAATTACAAAATAAAGAGATGAAGGAATGTAAAAACCGATGATTCTATCTCCCAACTGGTGTTTCACGAGCTATTCTTGCCTCCCATCGCAAAACTCCTTCCAAAGTGGTGTTAAATGTCTATTTATATGTGTAGAAAAAGACCTAAATGACATAGCCCAAGTCCTAGTCAAACAAGGAGACGAAATAAGCCTTCAAAATTCGGATCAGGCTCGCCTCAGACCGTGCCTCGCGAGGTAAAACGCGAGATGCATCTCGCTCCAGACCGTGCGGCGCCAGGCATTCAGCGCGCTCATCCTCGCCTTACCCCTCGCGTCGCCTGCTCCCACGCGAGTCAGAGGCTCGCCTCGCCAGCTCTAATGCGAGCTCCATAGCTCGCTTCGCCAGCTTCTTCATTTTTTCGCTGCTCACTTTTTTCTTTCTTCTTTCCAACTGTTTTCGAGCACGCTTTATACTTTAAATCTTCCTTTTTCTCTAATTTCATCTCCAATGTACCTACACATAAAATAGACTCAATTACGTGCAAATAAAGTATAGTTTGGCACTAAATCATCTAAAATGTAAGGTAAACAATGTACTAAA